TGCACTTGTGGCGGCCTTAGACACATACACATTATAGGGGCCTTGAGGCTGAGTAGACAGTGCTTGCGGCTCGTAGTCCTAAGGACTCTGGTTTGATTCCCGGCCGAGGCGGAAACAAATGGGCAGAGTTTCATCTTGATGCCTCTGTTCACCTAGTAGTAAATAGGTACCTGGGAGTTAGACAGCTGCTGCGGGCTGCTTCCTTGGTGTGTGTGTGTGTGTGTGTGTGTGTGTGTGTGTGTGTGTGTCTGTGTGTGTGTGTGTGTGTGTGTGTTAGAAATATATGTAGTAGATATAATAGAGGAAAAAATAGATTGTTTAGAAAGGTGGGGTCCAGGAGCTAATAGTTCGATCCTGTAGACACAAATAGTAAATACACACAGACAGGCGCCGAGTAACTTTCACAAATATACATATATCTAACCTGCCACCAGCAGTAAAACAGATATGAATCTCTCGTATTCATGCTCCAACTTGCCTTTAAAATCAGAAAAATTAAATTTCTTTTCGTCAAACTTTTTAGATTCTTCTTTCCTTCTTTCTTCTTTACTGCCCTCTCATTCCTCTTCACCTTGTTTTCACTATTAATATTATTATTGAGAAAATCCATTAGGACTATAGGTGGGCGCGACCCAAGATCACGGCATTCCCAAGTCGCATACTTTACCACTAGGCCACCATAGCTTGCAAACAACGAGTCACAATAACGTGGCTTTAAGATATAAAGACTAAACCACACACCAGAAAATGAGGAGACGACGAGAAATCGGTCCGTCCTGGACCGTTATCAAGTCGCTTGTGGCTTATAAAAGTCAGCGGGTTTTGACTTTAACAAATCAGCGATAGTCTAGTGATAGAGCATGCGTCTTGGCAATGCCACGTTCGTAAGTTCGAGCCTAATTCATAGCCCTAGTGGATTTTCTCATTGATATCACATAATGTAATTTCCGTGTGATTATTCAAATTCAAGTATGTTTATTGAGACAAGAAATAAATACATCTCAAAGGGATAGAGTAGCCTAGGCTATTTCTACCTCCCATGTGATTATTATTAATATTATTATTATTTCTTCTCTTCTTCTATTTCTTCTTCTCGTTCTCCTCCACCTTCCTCATCTCCCGTGCGTCAAGGAGGCGCTAGGAATCAATACTGGACACATTGAGCAGCGAGCAACGGCACGATGAAATATCCAACTTGACATCGAGCGCGGAATTTTTAGGGGGTAACTATTTTTTGCCTAAAAGTTGTAAAAGGTTTAATGGGGAGAGGGGCAGGAAGTTGGTTTGACTGGGAATATTGACGGTGTGGAGAGCAGGCATGTGGGTGGAGGAGCTTGTGTTAGTTTACAAGTAGCAGGTGTGTGGGTTTATGTTAGTTTACATGCAGGCAGGTATGTGGGTTTACGTTAGTTTACAAGTAGCAGGTGTGTGGGTTTATGCTAGTTTATATGCAGGAAGGTATGTGGGTTTCAGTTAGTTTACAGAGAGGTGGGTTTGTGTTAGGTTATTGTCATTCAGTAAGGGTTGTATTAGTTTACAAGTTTGAGATCTTGTATCTGTTTACAAGCAAGCAGGTTTAGTAGTGATAGTTATCGGGAAGGCAGGTGGGTTTATCTTAGTTTACTGACAGGTAGATGGGGTTATCTTAGTTTATAAGAAGGCATGTAGGGTTATCTTAATTTACAAGCAGGCAGGTAGGTTTGTGTTACTTAATTTGGAAACAGATGGGCTTACATTAGGTAACAGAGAGGAAGGTGTACATGTATTAGTTAACAGTTAGGTAAACAGGTTAGGCTGGCATGTTAGATTACCAAAAGGTAAGTTTACAATGTGGCAGGATACTTTACAGTAAGGTAAGTATAGGTAGAGGAGGAGGAGGAGGAGGGATAGAAATAGCCTAAGCTACTCTATCTCTTTGATATGTATTTTATTGTGTCAATGAACGTACTTTAAATTGAAAGTAAAGGAACCTTGGTTTACAAGAGGAACGGTAAAGTAAGATGCGTTATAGACAAGCAAGCAGGTCATGGTCAACTAAAAAGCAATCCCCAATCCATCTATCATCTCCATCCCTTCTGTCTCCATTTATCATCACCAGCACATGCCAACCCCCGCTTCTCCTACAAACCTCCACCACTCCACTCCACTCCCTCTCCAACAGACCACACCACTCCATTTCACTCCACAAAACCACCAAGACACCATTATCATCTGTCCTAACCTAACACATATCTCAAGGTCCTTCCACACCTCATTCCACCTCAGGGTTACATGCATTCCACTGAAGAATATCCCAGCAACAAATCACAGAGCCTTGGATACCCGAGTAACCCATTACAAATGCATAGCCTTCACCACAGAGGTGGTAAATCCAATTGTGAATATACTAGTTCGCGAACCAGTAGGGCTGGATTATATATAAGGATCAGAGGTTCCGTTTCTGTAATATTTCTTCTGACACATTAAAACTACTTGTAAACATTATGAGATTTGTAATAATGTGTGACATAATCAACAGTTAATGGTACACAAAGATAACACTTGCGTGATACATCAATCAGAAAATCTATTGGGACAATTGGGAGACTCGAACCAACGATCAGGAGGCTCCCAGTCGCACACCTTGCCACACTTTAGTGTAATTTTCTCTGTGTATCTGTAGCTGGAGCTTACGGGAGGTTACGTGTGAATCTTTGACTCGCTTCAGTAGAAGCCTCCAGACTTATTGTGAGTTCAGTGGAATCTCAGGTTCTGTGACTTATCCCTGTGTCATAATATGGTATAAGGTGCGTGGCTGGGAGTACCCTGGTCGCTGGTTCCAGTCACCTCGTTGTTCTAATTGGTTTTCTCGCTAGCTTATGTGTTCGAAATTAAATCTTTATATTAGTATAGAGGAATTTAAAGATAATGGTTAAACTTTCGGATGCGAGAAATTGAGAGAGAGAGAGAGAGAGAGAGAGAGAGAGAGAGAGAGAGAGAGAGAGAGAGAGAGAGATGAGAGCAGATGACATCTAGGGAGAGAGAGTTGATGGGAGAGACAGAAATCTAAAGACAGAGAGTGAAAGAGAGACAGAAATCTAAAGACAGAGAGTGAAAGAGAGAGAGAAAATTAGATAACGTAAGAGACAGAGAGTCTGTCTACGCAAGACGAGACAGAGAGGACACCTCAATAACTTAGTTTTATGCCGGCGCTCCTGTCCTTGGAACAGGTGTAAACACACCACTGGAGCCCACACACTACACCGAACATTTGGTCGAGTAAATCACGGGTTAATGTGAGAGAATGTGAACGAAATGTGCTCAGAGATACCATTTACCTCTCGTGCTCTGTGAGGTAAATGGCCTCACTGCCCCAAGTGAGGACAGAGAGTGCTCACTCTCATGTCCTCACTTGGGGCAGAGAGTGAGCACTCCGATTCACTTGGGGAGCTTCCAACCACTGACCTCACAAGCCGCAGCCCTACCAACCGAGCCACGAGCACCCACAATAAGGATGGATTCCATAGACACCCCAAACTGTATCCAACTGGAAATTTAGGCCTTTCCTGGGGAGCCACTTGGACTGCAGGTGTTGGGGTGATTTACGGCATAGTCTTAGAAAGTTCCGTAAGATGTACATAATTTAATAACAAAACATGCTCTCACTCAGCCCCTGAAATGTCTTTGTTTGTCAGATAAGTAGACTTAAGAACATATTATTAATCGCGATCGAAACATTAATCGGTGCTCATCAGAACCATAAGGGGAAGGACTAGGGAAGGACAAGTAGTAATTCATCGATGGATACTGTTTGCTTACTGGAGTCCTGTATTATATAGCTTCCTAATGCATCACACGTAGGTAAACATCTGTTCGATATCGTGAATATTGATAACCACCTGATTGGAATATTGATAAGCGAGACGTGAGTAGGGATTGTGTGTGTGTGTGTGTGTGTGTGTGTGTGTGTGTGTGTGTGTGTGTGTGTGTGTGTGTGTGTGTGTGTGTGTGTGTGTGTATTTGTTCTCACCTAGTTGTGTTCACCTACTTGTGCTTGCGGGGGTTGAGCTCTAGCTCTTTGGTCCCACCTCTCAACTGTCAATCAACTGGTGTACAGATTCCTGAGCCTATTGGGCGCTATCATATCTACATTTGAAACTGTGTATGGAGCCTCCACCACATCACTGCTTAATGCATTCCATCTGTTAACTACTCTAACAAGCCTGTATGTTTGTATCTGTGTATTTGTGTATGTATGTTTGTGTGCGTGTGTGTGTTTGTGTGGCTGTGTTTCTCACCTTCCGAGGACTACCCACTCTCTGGGCTAAAGATCTCCCAATCTACACACACCAAGTTCTGCCCTAATCACTCATAATCCAAATGATTAAAATCTGGAACCCTGAGAGAGATTTTCCAACATTGTTCTTAATAATCTGAGTTTGTTATTATAATTTTAACATAAATTCAGTTCCTGTTTTTATGCTATTAATTCATATCCCTATGTTTGCTTACGCTGGTTCCGATAGTATTTTCCTTCGATTCATCTGAAATGGTCGATCTGAGAAAGTTTTCTTCAAACACTTCCAAAAGTTTTTTCCTCTAAATGTTTTCTGTGTTATATATTCAGTTTGTTATATTAATTATAAGTTCCCACCAATGCCGAAGTTGTTAAACTTAGAACCCAATATATTTGCAGACGAAGAGTCACTATAACGTGGCTGAAATAGTTTGACCAAATCACACACTAGAAAGTGAAGGGACGACGACGATTCGGTCCGTCCTGAACCATTCTCAAGTCGATTGTGAATGGTCCAGGACGGACCGAAACGTCGTCGTCTCTTCACTTTCTAGTGTGTGGTCTGATCAACCCAATATATTTCTCCCCATTAATGCTATCTTTACATTCAATCCAGGTATAGTGGCTTTTATACAGCTTCATCAATCACACGCTAATTCAGTTCAATTAAATTTATTTTTCTGAACGAGCCTCTGATTTCCTTCTCTGACACTGTTTCACTCACCCTCCAGGGATGCTGACGAAGCCCATGGGACCAGCAGCCACGTAGGCACCATGCTGACGAAGGTTGCCCAAGCAGTCTACAACGGTGCCTGTGTTGGGGGTGTGGATGCTGCGGACGGCTCCCCATGTTGCGTCAACCTGCCGAAGGGAAAGTAGAAAGATGTTAGCAGTTGTCATGTTTTGTCATTTTTAAAAGGTATGGATTTGAAGGTTTTTTCCACAAGTATTTCCGACATTTTTCTATGTTTTTTGCTAATTTATAATGATTTGTTAATAATTTGTCTATAATCAATTGCTAGGTTAATTACCAGTGTCTAATACAATTTGTTAATTTGGTGGAATCGGGTAAATTCACCCATTATTCGCCTATCATGGTAGTAATGGTGCAATACTGTAGTGTATATCGTCACGAGGAAAATATATATGTCGCACTCGCCTATAACGCCTGAAGTACTGTTATTATACTTGCAGTCGTTTTCTATAATGGGGCGTGTTAAATTGCCCCCCCCCACCCCCTCCCCACCCCTCACACACACACACACACACACACACACACACACACACACACACACACACACACACACACACACACACACACACACACACACAGCCTATCGGACAGGTCCCTGGCTCGATTCCCAGTTGAGGCTTAAGCAAATGGGCATAGCTTCTTTCACCTGCTGTCTCTGCTCACCCCTCGCAGTAAATAAGAGCCAGGGAGTTAGACAGGTGCTGCGGGCTGTATCCTGGTGATGTGTATGTGTTACAAAGACATATATATGTAGTAGATATGTTAGAGCATAATAAGTCCGGAATCAGTACATTAGACAACTGACGGTTTGAAAGGCGGGGTCCAAGAACTAACAGCGTGATCCTGCAGGAACAAATAGCAGAAAGAAAAATACATACACGCATGCACAATTATACGAAAGAGTCGGGACACATGGCTAAAATACTTCAAAAAGAATCTTATAGATTGCAAAGTTGATTCAGGAACCGGTTATCAGAATTGAATTCCAGAGAGGGAAAGGTGTTGAAAACTGTGAGAGGCAAACAGGACACTAGCAGAGTAGTTCAATGCTTCCTGCATTAACTGGGAAATAGAAGATGATTGAATGCGAGGTCTCACCAGGTCCCACTAACACTTTTAACTTACTGGGCTTGATAAGAGTTTATAAGCAACCGGTTGTAATCCACTTAGCTCTTGGTGGCTACTTGGGGATGACTGTTCCACCTGCATGAAGCGACGGTCTCGCTTCATGCAGGTCGGCGTTCAATCCCCGACCGTCCAAGTGGTTGGGCACCATTACCTTCCCCCTGTCCCTTCCCAAATCTTTATCCTGACTCCCCTTCCAAGTGCTCGATAGTCATAATGGCTTGGCGATTTCTCCTGATAGTCCCCCCCCCTCCCTTCCAGGAGTATGTGCACCAGACTGGCAAAGATATCACTCAGAAGTAACAGTAAGTTAAGAGACAATCACCAAGTAACTGCAGGTAGTATAACCAACCACAAGTGAATGCAGGTGAAACAACCGTCCCCAGGTGACTGAAGTTATGAAGAAAAAACAGCAAACGGTCTGACAAAATTTATGAACAACTTTTACAAAATTTAAGAAAGCTTGTGGGCAGTTCATGCATTTTTAAAAGCTTGAAGAGAGAGTACAAATGCTGCCAGTTAGGTCTCCAAAACATTGCCTCTGGTCACTGCCACACAAAATGAGCTCCAAACCTACATGTCTGCTCTACATAATTAGTTTTCGGTGCGCTTCTTAATACGTAATGTATACATAATGTTTTGTGGATATTTCTCGTTAGGAATGCTTTGAATATATTGAAAGAATAACTTAGGTAAGTTTAGAGTTGGCTAAACAGATAAATTCTTGTATATTTAGAATAATAAGATCTGAAATAAACATATTTCCAGTAGAGGACGATCCTGTGGCTGGCAGTAGTGCTGGAACGTTACTAGTTATAGCACTCAAAGGTCACGTCCTATTGACCTGCTTTTCTGGTGTTTTCGTTCTAAATGCGCAATATACATTTACTTTTATACAAACTATGGTAATCGCACCTTAGTAAACGCTCACTCACCATTCGTTTCTAGTATAAATAAATTAAGAATATTTTTTATAATACTAATGATGACAAATTTAATTATAAACATATATTTCTCCATTACATGACTTCATAGTTGTCCAGGACGGACCGAAACGTCGTCGCTTCTCCATCTTCAGATGTGTGGTGTGGTCATTGAATCTGTACACTTGTGCCAACGTTGTTCAGTTGTTTTAGATGATATGTTTACAATGTTCTAAAAGCTGTTTTTATCTGTTCTTGAATGATAGTTGGAAAGTTATCATCCTCGTGAACGACGCTGATGGTTCCATATTCATGTGATGAATATGGAACGATGAGCGATGAGCTTGTCTGAGCTTCAGACATCGGCTCATCGCCGATGAGCTTCGGCGATGAGCTTGTCTTCTTACATATATGTTTTATTTTCTAACTCGAGAAATTGTCTGCTTTTCTCTGTTTATTGACGATGGGATCGTTTGCCCTCATGTGTCGTATGCAATTATTTTACATATGTCTTACATATTTCATCAGCCTTGTTTCTGAGTATGAGTTTTATGTAAGGTGTTCTGTTAAGTCATTTACATATATCAAGTAAAGCTCCTGCAACTCCAGGAATTTGTCTTACTCAATTTAAACTTTGTAATTCAAGGCAATGACCGTCGAATTCTCAAAAAAAGGCAACACGGGAAACTTATTATTTTCTATATTATAAGCTACATGTAAGGGAATTATTTGTCAAGTAAAACTTAATTCGTAAACACATGAAAATAAAGGAAACTGTATGAGGCATATTGGCCAATATGAGGTATCTCCAATAAATATGAACCGAAACGCAATCATATATATATATATATATATATATATATATATATATATATATATATATATATATATATATATATATATATATATATAAATAAATATAAATATATATATATAAATATATATATATAAATATATATATATAAATAAATATATATATATATATATAAATAAATATATATATATATATATATATATATATATATATATATATATATATATATATATATATATATATATATATATATATATATATATATATATATATATATATATATATATATATATATATATATATATATTCATCCGGGGATGGAATGGTGCCCAACCATTTGAACGGTGGGGAATTGAACGCCGACCTGCATGAAGCGAGACCTGTCGTTTCCTCTCCTGGCGAGAATATCTTGACTTACAACCGGTCAATCAGTGTAACGTCCTGCGTCTTGCTTAAAGATACCTCAGTAATTGCGTTCAGAACTCTGCAATCTTCAGTTCTTATCCATCTAAACCTACTAGGCACAGTACCCATGTAGCACATCTCTGTATTTTCTCATTGATACATCATCTTCTTATGATTTCATTAGGCATTCGACGACGATTTTGATTTGTCGTTTAGCTATGGCATTCCAAACGTCACTTCAAAAGACTATTGTGCTACGTTTTGAAGTGCTAATTGCTTCCATAAGCATCTTCAGAGTGTTATTTCATATGTGCGATTTTGAAACACAGTTTGGTTGCTTGGGCGTGGAGGACTTATTGGCTTCATCAGGTATGCTTTGACTTCCCACCTATATTGTGTCGGGGTAATGAGGTATATGCACTCGAAGGCGTTGGATCTTGCTCTAACAATGATCAAATTTAATTAGCAGGAGGCTTGATTGTATGACAGCGGTAGAGAGAGAGAGATTGTTGAACAATTGTGTGCGCATGTTTTGGTGAATGTGCTTGATCCTGTGTATATGTTTGTGCACATTCGCGTGCACATGCGTATATGTATTCACTCCATGCATTTGCAGCGCAAACATTAGATCCTGAGCCTCATCTGTTGCTCCAGTCTGCTTCAGCAGATGTTTAAGTCTGACAAGCATTCAGACAAGGTAAAGATGACGTAATATTGCAAGCGTGCACGCAAAGGTGATTTAATTCTGCAAGAGTGAACGCAAAGGTGATTTAATCTTGCAACATTGCCGGCACAAATCCTTCAGTCTACCTAGACATCTGCCATAGACTACCCAGACTGCCAGAGTTACACGCAGAGGTGACTCGATCTTGCAAAAATGTATAGCAGCATACAGGATACAGAGAGAATATCGGAAACCACATTAGCTTGCAAGTGCATAATTCCCTTTAACATCGCTTGCAACTTTGCAAATTTGAGCTGGGATTAACCAGCAAAATATGAACGCTGCGTTTTTCATGCAATTACCGGGAGTAAGTTGCTGGGTGGTCATGGAGGCCAAATATAGCTCAGTTGGAACGCCAGTGTCAAGGAACTGCAATTGTTGCGTCATATTCATGCACCGTGTTTTTAAACACACGAACAGTAGTTAAACTGAACTGGTATCGTTGCATATGCACGCAAACAAGTATGCAATCAAACACACACACACACACACACACACACACACACACACACACACACACACACACACAAAACAGCCAAAACTAGAAGACAGAAGAAAAAGAGGTGATATGATCACTACATACAAAATAGTAACAGGAATTGATAAAATCGATAGGGAAGATTTCCTGAGACCTGGAACTTTAAGAACAAGAGGTCATAGATATAAACTAGCTAAACACAGATGCCGAAGAAATATAAGAAAATTCACTTTCGCAAACAGAGTGGTAGACGGTTGGAACAAGTTAGGGGAGAAGGTGGTGGAGGCCAAGACCGTCAGTAGTTTCAAAGCGTTATATGACAAGGAGTGCTGGGAAGACGGGACACCACGAGCGTAGCTCTCATCCTGTAACTACACTTAGGTAATTACACACACACACACACACACACACACACACACCACCGCTAACAAGCAATCATTCCAGACCCAGAAATGGATTCTGCGAAAAGATGTCTGCATTTCCATGACTCAAAAAGTATTCAATAATCTCATAAAACAGATTCCGACTCCAAAAAGAAAACTGGACAAGTGTAAACGCAGATATCACAATATAAATAGGATAACGGATGGAGTTCCTAAAGATTCAGTAATAAAGTCCATCCTATTTCACATATACATATAAAATTGGTCCATTCATATCAATGTTGAATAATAATTCAAAAACAAACACAACAGAAGGGAACTGTGATGTGCTGCAAATAGACCTAGACTCTCCAGGGGTGATGTGAATAATTACTACTGGGCGTTAGTCCAGAGAAAAAACAAATTGATGAGAGCAGTTAGAATACCTACATATTTGTACATACTAAATGGTAAATCCTGCAACGGAAAAGGTGTTGGACTTGTTAATAGTCATAACCCCAAATTTATTTTATTTATGTATATACAAGAAGGTACATTGGGTTTGTGAGAATACATAACATAGTATTTACAATCTTGTAAAGCCAAATCTAACGTCAGCTGTTCTTATAACAGAATAACGTCCTTTTTTATGTTTGTTGTTGTTGTAGATTTAGCTACTCAGAACAAGTGTCCATGTAGCACAGGCTATGGTGAGCCCGTAAACTAACGTCCGAAGCATAATACAATATGCTCAAATTACGAATGGGCTCCAAAACACTTTAATAAATGTAACTTACAAGTGCAAGACCAAAATATGTCTATCGTAGAACACTTGAGTATTTAGCAGTGGCTTGGAACTACCCCCTTTAAAAATCACCAACTTATTCACCAAAAATTTCTATTGGTTCGAAAATTTGAAAATGGCTGGCCACAGAGCTGATGGGAATGAGTTTTGAGGAAAGAAAATGAACTGGACTTCACCACACTGGATAATAAAAAGAATAGGAGGACATGATAACGACATACATAATTCTACAAGCACAAATTAAGATTATATATATATATATGTCGTACCTAGTAGCCAGAATGCTCTTCCTGGACTACTATGCAAGGCCCGATTTGCCTAATAGGCCGAGAGATTTTCTTTATTTTCAATAAATTGTTTCCAATTAGTTTATTAGAATTATTATCATTATATTATATCAAGAACATAAATTTTTTACTTAGTTGTGTTAGTTTAGGTTAGGCTAAGATAGATTAGGTTAGGTTAGGTAGGGTTGGTTAGGTTCGGTCATATATCTACGTTAGTTTTAACTCAAATTTAAACAAGTTAACTTATAAATAATGAAATGGACAGATTTATCATTTCATAAGAAAAAAAATGAGAAAAATATATAAATTCAAAATTCAAAATTAAAATTCAAAATTACAAGATTCAAAATTACTTGAAGCTGAAGTGCAGAAATATTTCAATGCATATTTGTCTTCTTAAATGTGATATAAATAATTGACATAAAATATTAATTGTTGGAAATACTGATGTTACTGAGTACTGTGTACGATAATACTGAGTACTGTGTACGATAATACTGAGTACTGTGTACGATAATACTGAGTACATCCTGGATATTACATTATGGAGAGAACATTTAGGAGAGTACATTTAAGTGAGTACATTTAGAAGCCTACATGTCGAAGAGTACATCCTGGAAAGTCTGTTTAGGAGAGTACGTGAATGAAAATACATTCAGAACAGTAAATCTAGAAAAGTACATTTGGGAATGTATATTTAAGAGAGTAGCATTTATGAATTTCGAGAGGAGTACATCTAGGAGAGTACATTTTTGAGCGTACACGCACGAGAGTACCTATAGGAGAGTATATCAAGAAGAGTATATTTAAGAGAGTACATGTAGGGGAGTACATCTAGGACAGTAAATCTAAGAAAGTAAATCTAGAAGAGTACATTACAGGGAGTAAGTACATCTTAGAGAGTACATCTAGAAGAGTACACATATCCAGAGTACACAACACTGACCTTCGTCGTGGCCTCAACAAGGAGACTGTCAAAGCTCTTGAGACATTTGGGGTTGACCACTACAGACACTCCCTTGTAGAAGGCGTCCCCACTCCTGTATATGTGAATCCTCTTCCCCTCAGGCAGTTGCATGTGGCGAGACATAGTTGTGGTAGATGTGATGGTGGTTGTGGTGGGTGGTGTGATAGTAGTAGTGAGTGTGGTGGTAATGAGTAGTGTAGTGGTAGTGAGTGTGGTGGTAATGAGTAGTGTAGTGGTAGTGTGTGTGTAGGGGTGGTAGTGGTGTGTGTGATGGTGGTAGTGTGGTTGTGGTGGTGAGTGTGGTTGTGGTGGTGGCAGTACCTTAAGGCCAGAAATATTGAAGGTTTCTAGCACAATGGAACCGGAAATATTATTGTTTCTACTACACTACTGGTTTCTATCAGACTTGGTCCGAAAATATTTCAGGCTTTTATCATAATTGGTCTAGAAATACTTATAATTTCTTGTACACTTGGGCCGAAAATATTACCGGTTTCTATCACACATGGACAGGGAATATTGTTAAGATCGTCTGGAAGATGGTACAATTGAAACCATGCATCGAGTGTTGCCTTCCGAACAGTGAAGATAGTTGAAGAATTTTATGGAACATGATTTTCTAGTGACCTTGAAAAAGTTATGAAGAAAGCTTGAGAAGTACTGAGGAATAGTTCCGAGAAGCGGGTCAATCACTACGGGGGTCAATATTATTGTTTTCTCAATCACTACGGGTCAATACAAGCAAGTGAAAGATGTCGAAATAATTGTCCCACTCTTGATCTAAAGTATCACTGAAAATGCACGAAAAGATATGAAGTGTTTTTCTGTCTCAGGATTAATTTTAGTACGGCGCTGCCTCTCTCTCTCTCGTAAATTAGCTCGTCATTATAACAAATGTAGTTTTTAAAAGCTTTTCATTGATTCTTCACACGCATCTGATTCACTGACTTCAGGCCTTTATGTACACAAACGAATCTTGTGGTCATAATATATATATATATATATTCAGGGAATAGTATTCAAAGCTCAGCAAGCTCACTTTAATTTCGAAAAACTAATAAGTAAAACGAGTCCCTCACTCTCTCTCTCTCTCTCTCTCTCTCTCTCTCTCTCTCTCTCTCTCTCTCTCTCTCTCTCTCTCTCTCTCTCTCTCTCTCTCTCTCTCTCTCTCTCTCATCGTCCAAGCCGCTCAACAAACACGAAACATTCCTTGCGGATCGAGCAACACGTTCAGCCGAGTGCGGAGTTGCAGTTTTTTTACCAAGTCGTGAGTCAGTTGACTAGAGAGACTCTGGGAACATCCAGCGCATAGGTTCGAACCCTCATCAAGACACTTGTGGATTTGTTCACTCGATGTATCACGTTATTGTAATTTCTGCGTGTGCTGTCGTCCATCTTAACTGGACTGAGAGCCTGTGCTCGCCACCATTACCATCGCAGCACCTGACGAACTCACTACATCAGGATGATACAAGGTTATCTCCTGATAATTTCTTTGCCAACATCAATCACACAAGAAACACTTTGATGCATATCACTAATTTGTCCTAATCACACACATGTTTTTTTTTCCATTCCTCCTTTAATCCAAGAATAATTCCACTCGGTTAGATTATTTAAGCAGAAGACAATCTTCTTTTTCCAAGTAGGAGATGGTCATCTGTTCTGTTTATTCACAAACAGATGGAGTGTTGGTGGCGTTCTCAGCAGCGCTGCTGGTGGCGCCTTGACGCTCTGAGGAACACACTGTGACTGGCCGGGAACCTATTCATTATTAATATCATGAAGCCACCGCTTGCAACTGCCAGAACCGATCGTGATTTTCAAACAAAAAACGCACAAGGACGAAAAAAACATACAGGTTGAGCTAGGCTATCTGAGCACAGTGCTTGCCTGTTCATCCGGAAAGCTCGTTGTCTCTCTCTCTCTCTCTCTCTCTCTCTCTCTCTCTCTCTCTCTCTCTCTCTCTCTCTCTCTCTCTCTCTCTCTCTCTCTCTCTCTCTCTCTCTCTCTTAGTTCCCCATATGTGTTATGTGTGTGTGTTTGAATCCGTGTCGTTGGAGTGGTTGGAGTGTGGCGATATCGGGTAGTCGATATAGTGGTAATCGATATCGGTGAAGAGACAGGTACTTCAGGTCACCTGATGCTTCTTATTATGCTTGGATTTAACGTGGATTTAAATTCTGGTGAATGTATTCGGTGGAACTAAATGTGTCAGAGACATTATTGTATTCATTGTAGCGTTCACACCGGGTCCTGATTTAGACATATGATGTAAAAGTAACATCATTCATTATTGGAAAATGAGTATAGACCTTCGGTTAAAAGTACTACTGGTTGACCAGACCACACACTAAAAGGTGAAGGGACGACGACTTTTCGGTCCGTCCTGGACCATTCTCAAGTCGATTGTGGTTGTGGTACCACTGGTTGTTATTGTGGAAAAACTCGTCTCAGTCATTAGTTAAATGGTATGTTTAGGTATTTTGCTTCAATGGTTGTGCTTCTCGAACACAGAAGCTGGAAAGTGTATTTTGAATAGCATATTATATGTTATTGAGAGCGTGAACTCGAGATGGAGTTATTTCGATGTTTTTCAAAGCATCTTGTTGCTTAGAATATTGTGACTTTATTAATGTAGCTGTTTTATTAGCACTCCATACAGTGCTCTAGCGTTTGTGACTGTTATTATGCATCCATTCATTTTTCAGTACCATAAATAATAGGAAATTAATTACAAGTTATACAAAACAAATGAGTGTTTGTTTCCAGATCACTTTATCATACATCAATGAATTATCTATTTTTCGAAAGGTTTAGATAAAAAGTATTTCTTTCGTTGTTCATATTTTGAAAGACCGTTGAGACCGTAGGAAATGAACAGCATCATTATGAGTGCTCTCCTATTTAGGCATATAATAAATTAGTTGCATTGTTTGCTAGTGGAAAACGGAAACTAGATATTTTTAACTCTTTTTAAAATTCTCAACAACATGATACGAACATGATCTGCGTTATTCACTCTTAAGGATTTACGAAACTAGCTGGCTTTTGTTTTCAGAGTTGAGTCAACACATTATCTAAACTAATTTGCCGAAACACACAACTGAACAATGCGTTTTACTTCACTAATAGCTACACAAAACAACCGTTTTGATTCAGGTTGTTAGTGTGAGATGACAGTGTCGGTCTTCACACTAGCTGGAGACACCCAACAGCTGCTTTCCCAGCGTACACGAGCACCTTCAACACCCACCAACACATGGCAGTGACTCAGTCACTATCACTGACACAAAGTGGCCCGGAGCGTGGTGGTGGTGGTGGTGGGTGTAATGGTGGTGGTGGTGGTGGTGGGTGTAATGGTGGTGGTGGTGGGTGTAATGGTGGTGGTGGTGTGGTAGTGGTGGTGGTGATGGTGGTGGTGGTGGTGGTGGTGGGTGTAATGGTGGTGGTGGTGGGTGTAATGGTGGTGGTGGTGGTGGTGGTGGTGGTGGGTGTAATGGTGGTGGTGGTGGTGGTGGTGGTGGTGGTGATGACGCTGGTACTCTGATGCCCTTTCCTCTCTTCCTTTTTCTCCCATTATTACCCAAATAATACACATCAAGTAAATAAAAACAATAATATTTAGGGTTGTCAGACAATATTAAAGTCGTCTCTTGTTATCTGACCTTTCACTGAAGGTTACTCTCGTTCTCCCACCATCTTCCCCACCCTTTCCCTCTCCCTTTTCCCTTTCCGTTCCCTCCACCTTTACTTTTCCGTTCCCTCTACCTTCCCTATTCCCCCCCCCCTCACCCTGATACACTGACATATCTCCCGTCGCCTCGGATACATTGACCTCTCTTCCCCCTCACAAAAAGATTTTTCAGTGTCGCATACATTTGTCTGTATTGTCATAACATCTGAACCGACCCTGGTGGCGCAGTGGGAGCACACTCGCCCCGCGCTTCGCCAGCGATTTGGTCTGTGTTCGAGTCCTGACCAGAGAGGACTGACTGAACGCCAAACATTCGAACCTGTTCACCCAGCAGTAACTAGCTGTTAACCCATGTATAGTGTTCCATAGAACACCAATAGGACAAGGCTTACCCATGAGCTATGGGAAGGTAAAGTTCTCAGCCTGTTTAGAAGAGTCAAAAGTCATTTACCCAGAGTTCAAGTCATCTAATTGCTTCATATTATCTACATATTCATGTATAATCTTATATGTATATCAGACATGCATATCTTTGATTTAATAATCATACGTGTGTCTTTTTTAACGTGCTTGCGGTGTCTAGAACGTCTTCAAGATCGGTCAATAAAGAAAATTTAATAATTCTAACCAAAATAATCAGAAATGTCAATCATCGAAAAAGGAAATAAGTAAATTTATGATTATTAGAATTGTTTTATAGCACTTGGGGTGAGGCAGGGTGATGTGGCAACACCTGACAACGTGGGGTGAGGCAGGGTGATGTGGCAACACCTGGCAACGTGGGGTGAGGCAGGGTGATGTGGCAACACCTGGCAACGTGGGGTGAGGCAGGGTGATGTGGCAACACCTGACAACGTGGGGTGAGGCAGGGTGATGTGGCAACACCTGGCAACGTGGGGTGAGGCAGGGTGATGTGGCAACACCTGGCAACGAGGGGTGAGGCAGTGTGATGTGGCAACACCTGACAACGTGGGGTGAGGCAGGGTGATGTGGCAACACCTGGCAACGTAAGGTGAGGCAGTGTGATGTGGCAACACCTGACAACGTGGGGTGAGGCAGGGTGATGTGGCAACACCTGACAACGTGGGGTGAGGCAGGGTGATGTGGCAACAACTGGTAACGTGGGGTGAGGCGGTGTGATGTGGCAACAACTGGTAACGTGGGGTGAGGCGGTGTGATGTGGCAACAACTGGTAACGTGGGGTGAGGCGGTGTGATGTGGCAACAACTGGTAACGTGGGGTGAGGCGGTGTGATGTGGCAACAACTGGTAACGTGGGGTGAGGCGGTGTGATGTGGCAACACCTGGCAACGTAAGGTGAAGCAGTGTGATGTGGCAACACCTAACAACGTAAGGTGAGGCAGTGTGTTGTGGCAACACCTGACAACGTAAGGTGAGGCAGTGTGATGTGGCAACAACTGGTAACGTGGGGTGAGACAGGGTGATGTGGCAACACCTGGCAACGTAAGGTGAGGCAGTGTGATGTGGCAACACCTGGCAACGTGGGGTGAGACAGGGTGATGTGGCAACACCTGACAACGTAAGGTGAGGCAGTGTGATGTGGCAACACCTGGCAACGTGGGGTGAGGCAGTGTGATGTGGCAACCCCTGGCAACGTGGGGTGAGGCAGTGTGATGTGGCAACACCTGGTAACGTGGGGTGAGACAGGGTGATGTGGCAACACCTGACAACGTAAGGTGAGGCAGTGTGATGTGGCAACCCCTGGCAACGTGGGGTGAGGCAGGGTGATGAGGCACCACCTGGCAACGTGGGGTGAGGCAGTGTGATGTGGCAACACCTAACAACGTAAGGTGAGGCAGTGTGATGTGGCAACACCTGGCAACGAGCGTCTAGTAACAGATGTAAACAGTACTACCAGCTCAGCCCATCGACCCGTTGGCAAGTGCCGTCATCAAAACACTTCATTCATGCTTCGTTTTTATATATATATTGTTCTGTGTCTTCATATTTCTCGTTTTTTATCCATATTTCTTCTGTCTCCCCTTTACACCTTTTTCTCTCTTCTTTATTTATGAATTTATTTTTATTTTTATCTCTTTTACATTCTTCATTTGTTTTAACTATACGGCTTTCCCTCGTTTTCTATGAATACCCGGAGTAAAGGGTAGACTAAACTGATCTAGTCACAAACTTCTTTATTTATATGGAATTCGTAGGAATCAATACGACTAGTAAACCTCTCGGTTGGCATGGCTTGTATGTCTGATGGCTTGTATGTTTGATGGCTTGTATGTCTGATGGC